CCAGCATCCTGCGTCTCTCGTCCCCCGGCGACTGGAGTGGATGGCAGGGGCTCTCCTCCCGGGTTCCTTGCCTCTCCTGACCCCGTCTGCCTGGTAGGGTGGGCATTTCCCCCCCTTTTGCATGAAGACGGAGGGGCAGAGAATGGGTGGAGCGGCCCCCTTTCTCCCTGCTGGCTCTCAGCCCCTGGCCCACTTCTCCCATTGGTGGGAGCATCTTGCAAAAAAAGTTTTGATTTTATTCTCCCTTTCTTACCTTGCCATGTATATTTCAACACGATTTTATTTAAATCTTCAAAATAGTCTTTTCCAAGCCTAATTGGAATTGTTGGGAACAAATATAAAATTCTGGGTAATATATTCATCTTGATTGTTGGTATTCTCCCTATTAGTGAGAATTGTAGATTTTCCCATTTCGCCAAATCAAGCGCTATGTGCTGCTTAAGTTTAATATAGTTATTCTCTTTTAGTGTACTACATCTTGCTGTCAAATGTATCCCCAAGTGCTTGATCTTATTTGTGACCTGGATTTTCAATACATCCGCCAATTCTTCCTTTTGTCTTGATAGCATATTCTTTGTCAAAATCTTTGTTTTGTCTTTATTTATTTTCAAACCAGCCACCTTCCCATAGACCTCCATCTTTTCTATCAATTTTGATGCTGTTTCTAGTGGGTCTTCTAAAATAAAAACCAGATCATCTGCGAATGCTTGCAACTTAAATTCTTCCTTTTTAATTTTCATCCCTTTTATATCCTTTTCTTCTCTAATATTTCTGTGTAGCACTTCCAAGGTTAACACAAACAACAAAGGTGACAGTGGGCACCCTTGTCTTGTTCCTTTTCTTATATCAATAGAGTCTGTCAGTTCTCCCTCTATCATTACCTTTGCCGTTTGGTTATGATATATAGCTTCTATTGCTTGGATGAATTTTTTACTAAAGCCCTTCTCTTTACTTCCATAGCAAACTTGGCCTTGATCATCTATTAGTTGCAATATTTTCCTTGATTCTTTCTCCTTTCTCAGTTTATATGCTAACCATCTACCTGGTTTATTTGCATCTTCAAAATAGTTCTGTTTCACACCTCTGATTTTCTGTGCTAATTCTTCTTTTTCCATTAGTCCCATTTTATGTTTAATTGTATCCATTTTTAGCTTAATGTCCCTTTTCTCTGGCATTTTCTGTAACTCTTTTTCAAGTCCTTTATACTCATCCTCTAATGTCTGAGAGGCTAGTCTTTTCGTGGTATTTCTTTTCCTTGTATAGTCTGTTATCAAGCCTCTGGCATATATGCCTTCATTGTATCCCATACGTTCTGCATTGATGTGTGGACCAATCATTTCCTGGACTTCTTTCTCTCTTTCCTTGCGTATGGATGTAAACTTGGTTGTTGTGGTTGTTACCTTTGGGATTTGTTGCAAGTCTCCGTTCATTCTGAGCCTCGGCGTTCCCGACTCCACCCTTGGCAGACGTGGGCTGCTTGCTGGCTTCGGTTTTAGTTACACGTTCCTCTTTTTTCATTTTTTTCACACGTGTCCCTTTTTCCTTTCAGTCTGTCAGCGTCTTCATGATGGTTTGTCCAGGATCTCTTCTTTTTGGTTCTCTGGGGTATTTTATTGGATTGAGCTTTTGTGATCCCACAGATCTCGGTGGAATCTTTCCTCTCTAACTCGGTTGAAGTCGGCTCTCTTAAAGTCTGAAATACCACATTGACTTTTTTTGCATTACGAGGAATTCCAACACGATGTGGCCAAGCCCCCCCCGCCCCCCAAGTTCCCCCACTTGTACCCCCTTTATCATTTCATCTCTGCTAGTAATGAAGCCCAGGGGAGCTGACCCTCTCGGTCCCTTCTCCGCCTTCCGGGGGACAAAGTTGCCAGCCAGGCTCGGCAGGACCCTGTTTTTGGCCTCCCGCTTCTCTCCGGTTGATGGCAGGAAGGCTTGGTGGCCTCGTAGCCTGCTCTTTGCCACGAATGGCGCACGGAGGGGCTTCCACGGGTGGGTTATTTCCAGATTTCCTCACCATGGCCACAATTCTGGGCAGGCCCTGTGAAAGGCCCTAGCCTCCCTCCAGGCGGCCCCGGGGAGGCCAGGCCGAGTGCCCAGGCCACCTGCTGGATCCTGTGGCTGCCCCCTCTGCGGCCCCTCCCCTTCTCCTCCTCTCTGGTCCTGGTGAAGCCTGCAGGACGTGGTAACACTAAACCAGTGGCCTGGGGGTGGGGGTGGGTGTGGGTGGGGGCCCAGCACCCGGCTGCTCTGGTGCAACTGCCACCACCCAAACAATTTCCCCCCAGGTGGTGCTGAAGGAGGCTGGGCTGGGCTGCGGGGCTGTGGGGGGAGGGGCTGTTTGGGGCAGGGACCAGCCCACCATTGTTGTGTTTAGAATTCTCCAGGGCTGGATGAAGTCGCTCCCTGGGGGGCTGAACGGTCTCTGCCCTTGCCCTGGGAAGGCATCCCTCTGGGCTGGGGAGCAAAGGGAAGGCACGCACACACGCACACACACGCTGCAGGAGCAGAACCACCTCCCTCCCTCCCTCCCTCCCTCCCTCCTTCCTTCCCCTGGGCGGCAAGAGCCTCTGGACTGGCCACGGTTCCTCAGCAGGGGCCTCCGAGTGGCAGTTCCAGGCGAGCGCAGGCCTCCCCCCTCCAAAGCCCCTGAGCCTTCCCCCTGTCTCCCCTCTAGGTGAGCGTCACGGTGGACTACATCCGGCCAGCCAGCGGGGCGACCGACACGGTTCCCGCCTTCTCAGAGCGCACCTGTGCCACCGTCACCATTGGCGGCATGTGAGTGTCGAGGAGGAGGAGGGTTGGCATTGAGGGCAGCCAGCAGGAACGGCAGGCGATGGCGGGCAGACAGAATGGCCTGTCTCTGCCAAGCAGACCTGGCTGCCCCCGGGCCTTTGCTTCAGGCCCCTGGGGCCGGCACCACGACCGAGGGATGCCTCCTCAGGGCAAAGCCCGGCTGCCCACTGCCGGCCTTCGCCGTGGCCCACCGTGAAGAGGCTGCCCCGGGCCTCCTTCTGAGGCCTCCCAAACCCTTCCCCCCTTCACCAGCCGGTGCGCAGCCCCCTTCTTCTTGCCCCACCGCCTGGGGCCCAAGTGCTGGTCAGGGGAGGGGGCGGCTCAGGAAGGGTGAGCCGTGCGTTGGCTCCAGCCAAAGGAGGGGAGGCTGCCGCTTCCTTCCCGGCTGCCTGGCCTTCTGCGCCCACCCTTGATGCTCGCCCCCCACCCCCGTCTCAGGCCAGCCTGGTCTGGGCTCTGTGGAAGGGTTCCCCTGGGGCTTGAGGGGCCCTTGGGAGGCCAAAGGGGCAACCGGCCTTGCCTCGGGAGCCTTCCTGGGTGGGGAGGAGGGTCTCGGCTGCTCACCCAGAGAGGAGACCCCTGCCCGCCTTGCCTGCCTCACTCCTGCCCATCTCCTTCTCTTGCAGCAACATCGCCGAGGCGCTGGTCAGCAAGGGACTGGCCACTGTCATCCGCTACCGCCAGGACGATGACCAGCGCTCCTCCCACTATGATGAGCTGCTGGCTGCTGAGGCCCGGTGAGCTGTGGGAGGGGGCTGGGGGGGGGCTCTTGCCCCACGGGACAGGCTGGTATTGGGAGGGGGGAGGGCTTCCTTGTGGCCAGTAGGGCAGGGTTGGAGGTCAAGGGAAAGAGGGGGCAAGGGGCACCCCAGCCACTTCCCACGCCCCCTCTGGGAAGGAGGGAAGGAGCCAGAAGGCGAAGCGAGGGAGCCTCCGACCGGCCTATCCTCTTCCCTGGCCCAAGGGTCTCCCTCACGCAGAGCTCGGCTGGGGTGGGCAGCAGCACTGAGCAGGCTGGGCCTTTTCCCGGGGCCGCTCTGGACCGCCAGAGTCCCCGTGCTCCCCTCACCTTGGGAGGGGCCTGCAAAGGAGACCTTGCTGGTCCTCCAGCACCCAAGGAAGCAGAGCAAGTCCAGGCTCTTGCTGGGGGTGGGGGGGAGGGGGGGGCGCCGTTTCTGGAGCGGGAGGAGGGGCTGTGAACCCAGGTAGGCAGCCCTAAAGCCAGGCAGCCTTTGCAGGAGCTGCTCTGCCATGAGGAGAGGGCTGTTGGGAACATGAGAGAGAGGGAGGGGGCTGGGGGCCTCCAGAGAATGCCCTCCCCCATCTTCCAGGGCAGCAGCAGCATTCTTGGGGTCCACGGCCTTCTCAGAAGGTTCAGCAGTGTGTCCAACGGAGGGGGCAGTTGCCCTGCCTGGGTTTGACGGGGGTGGGCCGAGCTCTGGGGCCTGGAAACAGACAGGCACTTCTCAGACATAGTGGGTGTCTCCCAGGTGCCTTCTGCCCCCTGTCCCCTTCTCCAGACCGTATGTGGGGCTTTGGGCTCTGAGGGGTTGCTGGCTCTGCCTCCCCCCAGTGCTTCCTGCCAGGCAGGGGTCCTTCTGTCTGCCCCCCGGAAGTCAGAGCCCTCCCAGGCTGATGCTTTCTGCCCCCCCCCCCACAAAAGCGGGGCCCTATTGTGCCCCCAGAGGGTGGAACCCCTGGCGTCAAAGGGCCCCCCTCCCACTGGTGTAGCTTTCCTGATCTCCCCCTGGACTCCCCAGACTGAAGCTAACCCCTGGTCTGAGAGCCCAGGGGTCAGCAGCTGCTGATCTGAATTGATGGGTGGGGGGGGGGTCATCTGATGGAGGCAGAGCTGACAGAAGAGACAAGCTTCTCTAGCCTTTGTTGGCAGCTGGGACTACTCGTGGTTAATAGCACCGTGGAGAGTGGCAGGCTGCCGTTGGGATTTCCTGAGGTTAAACGATGAGTGGGAGCTTGGAACTGCCTGAGACATTGTAGGACTACAAAGCTGCTAAATTTCCAATGCAACATAGCAAACCTCTCTGGCTGTTTGTTCTAGCTACCATTTGCATTTTGCTTCTGCATTTTTGTGGGTGTTCTGTGGTTGGGCCCGGGAGGGTTGCTTGGGGGATGTTATGATATGTACAGAATAACCCTTGAGTAACAAGGATATGCACATGGAAACGTTTATGAGACTAGTTATGAAAAATTATTCAGCCATACACAGATACACTAAATTGAGTTAAAGTTTACTTTAAGAAATAGCACAATCCAATAAAACGGTCCAGGTCATATATGTTTAACAGTCCAAAGAATATCCAATTACAAAGTCTTCTTACCGGTTGCCTTTGTCATTTACAGTAAACAAAGATAGCTAGAGAATGTCAGAGAAACAGAATGTCAGAGATACAGAATGTCAGAAGAGAGCAAGCCATGATCTCTAGCTCCCTCTTATGGCAACCTGCAATACAGTCAACCGATCGGAATATAGTATAAATCAACACAGTGATTTTGTCTTAAAGCTACAAACATACATTGTTGGTTTATATATTGCCAACCCAACTAATTGGTGGACAGATTCCTAACATTCTCCCCTTTGGGTTGGTCAATATACTGTATAATACTTTACATCTTTAAACCATAATTCTCACAACACTCTTTATGCTTAATTGCACCTTGAGCTTTCATGAAATGATCTGCAATATTATGTTCAGTCATGCAGTATTCTAGCTGAATTAACTGAATTGAAGCTGAATTGAACACACTGTCTAACGTTCAAATATCTCAAATCAGTATGTTTAGACCTTGTTTTAACAGCTAAATTAGTAGCCATATTAATTACAGATTGATTGTCTTCATAAACAATAAACGGATCACGTACAGTAATTCCAATATCCTTCAACAATTGTTTATAATATATCAATTCTGTACACATTAATGATAAGCATGAGAATTCCGCTTCCATAGTGGATAATCTAATATGTTGTTGCTTAATAGACTTCTATCCTATTAAAGCATTACCCAACATTACCACTATACCTGATGTTGACTTACGAGTCACATCAGTAGCAAAACTTGCATCAGCATATGCAGTTAACAGGAATTCATTACTTGGTTCTAAATATAATGAATAATGGATTGTGTGTTTTAAATACCTAATTATTCGCTTAGCTGCTTGCCAGTGCCTTTCATTTGGTTCAGCGTTATACCTAGCCAATTGGTTTACACTGTAAGATATATCTGGTCTAGACCAATTACCCAGATATGATAGACTACCGATTAAGGATTGATATATTTCCTTATCAAACATAGGACTTTTGATATCACTATGTGTAAATTCCTTACTCATTGGTGTCTTAGCAGATTTACAATGCTTCATGTTATAGCATTTTAATAATCTTCTTGGCTTGCGAAATTTTAAAACCTTTATTCGTTTTCATTATATCAAGACCCAAATAATGCTTAATCTCCCCTAAATTTCTAATCCTGAACTTTTTCTGTAATCTATAAACAATATCATTTGCTTCTTGTTCAGTTTTAGTTATAATTGCTATGTCATCTGTAAATAACAGCAATAGAGAAATTAAACCATCTTTTTCTCTTCGAAACAAACAAGGATCAGCTATACCAGCTTTAAAACCTATTGAAACGAATTCCTTTACAATACATTTATTCCATTCATAACCGGATTGCTTTAGACCATAAAGACTTTTCTTTAATTTCCAATAATCAGTTTTTCCATCATCCTTTAAACCTAATGGCTTTTTCATATAGATGGTATGTTGTAAAGGTGCATGTAGATATGCAGTTTCAACATCTACATGGTTTATTTTACATTTATTCTTAGCTGCCCAAACTAATGCTGCTCTCAATGTATTTGCTCTCAGACTAGGTGCAAACACTTCACCATAGTCCTTATCTGACTGAGCAAATCCTTGAGCAACTAATCTTGCTTTATGGGTAATAGTCCCATCCACACCAGTCTTTATCTTATACACCCATTTGCAACCTATTGCACGTTCAGCTGGTGGTAACTTTACATCCTCATACACCTCTAAATCCTTTTAACAATTTTAACATCCTATTCATAGCTTCCTGATCCTTTGTAGGATACAGTTTTATTTCATTGAAGTTAGAAGGTTCTGTATTAACCTGACATGCTTGCTTGAAATCTGTCAGGTGGACGTCTCTCCCTAGTTGACCTCCTAGCCAACTCAGTACATGTTGTTGGCATGTCCTCTTCCTTTATCTCCCCTATCAAATCCTCGTCTTGTGCAGTCATAGAGGGTTCTTCTATTGATTCCTCCATGGAGGATTCCTCCACTATCTTATCATCAATATTATTATCATTAGGATTATCAGTAAACATTGGAGTCTCAACAACAACACCCAACTAATTGGTGGACAGATTCCTAACGGGGGAAAAGTTGAATGAGAGCATGTTGGTCCTTTCCCCCAGGTGAGAGCTGAGGGGCAAGAGTGGCTCCCTGCTTGGTGGGTGAGAGCAACTGGACAGGGTGTTGTTTACGCATCGAGTGGACGTATTCTGATTATGTTGGGAGATAAGGGGAGCTGGATGTGACCCCTCTGAAGCAATAAGGGGTAGTGTGAGTTTGAGGGCGCCGAGAGCAAATGCTATAGTGCCTGTAAAGCTCACCTTGCTGCCAACAATCTGTCAGTGGAAGTAGATTTCCCCCCTCCCCTTTTTAAAGAGGAATTTTGGGGCTGGGGGCTGGAATGATTCTCAGGGAAGGCAGAGGAGGGCATCCTATTTCAGTGGTGTCTGGTTACAGGAGATATGGGAGACAAGGGAGAGGGCAGGCACAGTGAACGCGATTAGTACCGATCTCGTGTTCTGCCCCGTTGCACTCACCTCATTTTCCTGGTCAGCAGATCTGCGTTGGCCTTGGTCTTAGACTGCTGCTTTTAAATGTGAGGTCAGCTTGCAGTAAGGCTAGCCTTATTGCCGATTTGATCCGCGAAGGGAAGGTTGATCTGGCTTGTATAACTGAGACCTGGCTGGGCCCAGAGGGAGGCGTTCCTCTTGCAGAAATGTGCCCAGTGGGTTATTGAGCATGGCACCAGTCTAGGCCTCAAGGCCGGGGAGGAGGTGTGGCTGTTGTCATCAGAGAATCTCTAGTAGCCTCCAGAGGCAAAGTTCAACAAGTCCCCGGCTGTGAGACCCTTTTTCTTAGGTTGGGCTCAAGGGATCACGTGGGGTTGCTGCTGCTATACCAGCCTCCCTGCTGCGTGGCAGCTTCCCTACCTGGGCTCCTGGACACACACACACACACACACACACACACACACACACACACCAGCTTGTAGTTCTGGGGGATTTCAACCTGCCTTCTCTGGGGTCAGAGGTAGCCCAAGATTTTATAGAAACCATGACTTCCATGGGCCTGTCCCAGATTATCCAGGGCCCGACTAGTAATAGTGGTCACCCCCCCCCCACCGATTTGGTGTTCTTGTCGGAGCAATGTCTATGGGACCTGGAATTGGTAGACCTCTCCTTGGTCCCCTTGTCATGGTCAGATCACAGTCTGGTGGCAATGAGTTTCTCAAAAGCTGCCTCCCCCCGCAGGGAGGCAGGACCTATTAGGCTGGTCCGTCCCCATCGACTAATGGACCCAGATGGGTTCCAGAAGGAGCTGGGGGTTATAACTGCAGATCTGTTATGCAGTTCAGCCGAGCTCTTAGTCACTGTTTGGAATAGGAAGGTGACTGGGGCCCTGGATAGGATTGCACCCTTGCGACCTCTCCTCACCCGTAGACCTCTCTGTGCCCCATGGTATACAGAGGAACTGAGAGGGATGAAACGCATGAGGAGACGTCTAGAGCGCCGCTGGCGGAAGACAGGAGGTGAACTCGATTGAATACGGGTGAGAGCTGCTACTAAGGCCTACCTTGTGGCGATTCGTGAGGCGAAATGTAAATCCTTCTCCACACTCATTGCGTCTGCAGATAATCGCCCAGCAACCCTCTTTTAGGTGAGCCATCTCCTCTTAGGGAAGGAGGAGATTGAGGTCCACCTGAAGGGGCGCGCTGAGGAATTTGTGGATTTTCTGGAAGACAAAATCGCTCGACTTTGTTCCCAGTTAAATGCCAGTGTGGTTGCTGATCCGGTGGACGCTCCTGAGGCAGGTTCTTGCCCTGTTGTCTGGGAATGGTTTGACCCTATTGCTCCCGAGGAGGTGGACAGGATCCTAGTGAGTATGCGCAGAAACACCTGTGTTTTAGACCCATGTCCCTCCTGGCTTGTGAAAGCTTCCCAGGAGGTGACAGGCGGGTGGACTCTGGCGGTGGTTAATGCTTCCCTACAGGAGGGGACAGTGCCCCAGCACTTTAAGGAGGCTGTGGTCCGCCCTCTTCTTAAGAAGCCATCGCTGGACTCCACCCGTTTGGATAATTTCTGACCTGTCTCCAATCTTCCATTTTTGGGGAAGGTGGTTGAGAAGGTGGCCGTGCAACAGCTCCAGAGGTTTCTGGATGAAACAGATTATCTCGACCTCTATCAGTCAGGATTGAGGCCTGGATTTGGGAAAGAAATGGCACTGGTTGCACTTTTAGATGATCTCTGGCGGGAGCAGGATGGGGGTAGTGCATCCATCCTTGCTCTATTTGACCTCTCGGCAGCTTTTGATACCATTGACCATGAGAGTCTCCTGGGACGGCTTCAGGGGATGGGAGTGGGAGGCCTTGGGCTGGCCTGGTTCCCTTCCTTCCTCTGCGGCCGCTCTCAGTCAGTGTTGATAGGAGGGGAGAGATCCAGCCCTCACCCACTGCTTTACGGGGTTCCACAGGGCTCGGGGCTCTCTCTGCTCCTGTTCCACATTCATATGAAACCGCTGGGTGAGATCATCCGTCCCCATGGACTGAGGTATCACCAATAGGCTGATGGGACTCAGCTGTGTGTCTCGGCCCGTGGTGAGTTAAGTGTTGCTGTGTCCTCCCTCTTGCAGTGCCTGGAGGCTGTTAGGGGCTGGAGGGGGAGCAACGGGTTGAAACTAAACCCGTGCAAGACGGAGTGGCTCTGGGTCTGGGGTTCATTGGTTCAGGGAGAATTGCCACCTTTAGTCTTGGATGGGGTGGCACTACCCCAAACAGACCCTGTGCGTAATCTGGGGGTTCTCCTGGACTCACGACTCCTGTTCGAAGAGCAGGTGGCGGTCGTGGCCAGGAGGGCCTTTGTGCAACTGCGGGTTGTACACCAGTTATGCCCTTTCCTGGATCAGCGGTCCCTACTCACAGTCACTCATGCCCTGGTCACTTCCCGTCTTGATTATTGCAACGTGCTCTACATGGGGCTGCCCTTGAAGAGCATCCAGAAGCTCCAGTTGGTGCAAAATGTAGCGGCCCGCATGGTTTTATGCGAACCCCGGTGCGCACATGTGTCACCTCTCCTGCGGGAGCTGCATTGGTTGCCAATTTGCTTCCAGGTGCAATTCCAGGTGCTGGTTGTCACCTTTAGAGCCCTTCATGGCTTGGAACCAGGTGATCTGAGGGAACATCTCTTGTCAATCACATCCACCCGACCCATTAGAGCGAGGAGGCAGGGAATGTTGTGGGTCTCACCTCTGAGGGAGATCCACCTGGTGGGACCCAGAAGAAGGGCCTTCTCCGTGGTGGCCCCCCCCCTCTGGAACATCCCCCCCCCCCCCCCGCAGAGATTAGAACGGTCCCCACTCTAACTCTCTTCCGAAAGGCACTGAAGGAGAAGACCTGGTCCTGCTAGTGGACCGGGGGATCCCAGAGGGGGAGGGAGCCCATCAGGTGGCTAGTGTGATCTGCTGTCATCGGAGGTCAGGGTGGGAGTTGGTTTTTGATTTTTTGTTTTTCGTTTTGTTTTCCCAAATGTTGTTCTATTGTACTTTACTAATTTATTTGATTCTTTTTGTTAGTTTTTATTGGTTTTATTTTTATTTTCTTGTTTTAAATATGGCTGTACATTGTGTAAGCTGCCTCGAGTCACCATGGGCGAATAGACGGCAATATAAATAAATTAAATAAACAAATAAATAAACAAATAAACAGAGGGGGGGGAGGGGCTCTTGAGGTAGAGAGCACAGCAGCTGCTCTGCAGTTCCTGGGTGCTGCTGACCCTCCCTTGTCCCCTACAGGGCGGTCAAGAATGGCAAAGGCTTGCACAGCAAGAAGGAGGTCCCAATCCACCGAGTGGCTGACATCTCCGGGGTAAGCCGCACTCTTTGGGGCCCGGGGGGCTCTGGGTCTCCTCTCCCCCCCCCACTGCCCATCCTGGGGGGGAAGCAGCCTCTGGGGACAGCCGTGGCCTCTCTCGTTCAAGGGGAGCCTCCTGCCCGCTCTTGGCAGGTTCCGGCTGTGTGCTGTTCCCCCCTTGGCGGCTGAATTGGCTGCCTGGCAAGGCTCTTTCCTGCTCCTGCCCAGCAGTCCTGGGTGGGGAGGGGTCTTCCTGCCCTGCTTCATAAGGGGAATCTGGTTGGTCAGCGGGGAGGAAGCCGGTACGACCCAGCCTGGCTGCCCCTGAGCATCAAAGGAGCCCCCCCACACAGGACCACGCCCCTCCTGTGCCCCCTCCCTCCCCCTCCTCTTGACCAGAACCTGGGGGGGGCGCTGGAGGTGTGGGCTGGAGAGGAGAGCCACGGAGGAGACTGTGAGGGAGACGGCCAGGATTCTGGATAGGGATCCCGGAGAGCTGCTCCCCAGGTGACGAGGGCGAAAGACGGCCAAGGCAGGCGGAGAGCGGCTGAGGTGGGGCGGGGCAGGAGGCCCAGCACCGCCGGACTGGCCCGTGTCTGTCCTCAGAGCCAGTCTCCACAATCTTCCCATGGACTTCCTGGTCCCCGTGGGGCTGCTGGCAGGACTTGGGGCTCCTTTCATTTCCTGTTCTGTCCGGCAAGGGAGACCCAGGACCTTCGGAAAGTGGCCCCACTGGGGTGTCCCCTTCCTCTGAGTGGCCACCCTCAGAAGGGGCCCCTGAGCTGCCTTAGGCTCTGGGGCCCTGAAGGAAACTCCCTGGTCCAGCGATGGAGCTCCTGAACTAGGAAGGAACCTGCTCCCTGCTGGAAGGTCTCTTCCAGGGGCAGATTCAGGTTGGGACGGGTGGCTCCGTTGTCCCCTGGGCTGATCCCCTGGGTGGGTGGGTGAGGCCTCTGGAAGATGCTCCCCCCTTAACTGAAGCCAGGAAGTCGGGCCCCCTGGGATGGCGGAGGACGTTTGGCCCAAACTGCCCGTTGGATCCGGCCAATTCCATAAGCTCCAGTCTGGCTGAGGCGCTCAGGCTGCCCTTGCCAGCCAGCGGCCTTTTGGGGTGGGTAAGGTGCGGCTGGTTGCAAACTCCTCCAGGCAAACCTCGGAGCCGCCTGCCTCCTGGTGCTGGAGGTTTCCAAGCAGAGGTGGGCAGTCCTTCGTCTGGTGTAGCCCTGGGCAGGGGGCTGGACTGGAGGACCTCCGGGTGCCTTTGGGTTTTTTAGGCGGCTGAGGAGCGAGTGGAGGCTGTGACGGGTCCCTGAGGAGGGCGGAGTCGAATGGCTGCCTGTGTGGCCGGCCTGTCCTTCCTGGGCCGTCTCGGGAGCGGCTGGGATGGCAGCCCCAGGGCTGGGCCTTTACCCACTAGCAGGCCCAGGAAAAAGAAGGGACCTCATCCCAGCCCTGCCCCCACGTCCCCCCAATGCCACGATGGTCGAGCAGGCCGGAGCCTCCCTGTGCCTTGGAAGAGAGGAAGGCCGGAGGCCGCAGGGGAAGGGGAGGCGCAGGGGGAGCAGCCGTCTCCTGGGGGCAAAGCCGCTTGGCCGGACAGCTGGGGCCCTCCGGCTGGGGGTGGGTGGGGCGGATGAGCTTCTGGCTGGGAAGGGCAGAGGGAGGCCCACGCCTGCGGCCCCCAGGGCAAGGGACTCTTCCTGCAGGGGCCCAGGAGGGAAAGGCTGAGCCACTCGGTCTCGCCCCTTTGGGAGCCCGTCCCCCGCTCGCCACGTTCTCCCGGGGCTGAAGGGTCTCTCTTCTGCTCAGGAGGGGGCTAGGCCTGGGGACGCCCCCTCTTCCCCTGAGCCTCCACGCGGCTGGCCCCAGCTGCCTTCGTGGGAGGGCTGCCCCGGACAGGTGCTTCCCTTCCCCAGGGAGGAGAGGAGGACCTTCCCATCCAGAAGGGGAGATCTGGAGTGGGAAGGGGCCCCGCGCACAGGGCCCCTGGCAGGCAGGCGGGCTGGTGCCAGGCCCTGCTGAGCAGCCTCCCGGGAGAGAGCCTGGTCTCGGCTGGCACAGGGGCCCTCGGCCGGGCAGCTTCCCCCCTGACCCTTCTGGAACACAGGGTGGACCAAACCGGCCCCTCCCCGCTCTGCCCCCGCTACTCCTGGAGGAGTCTTGATTGCACAGGAGGGAGGTGCCCACTTGGGCCCGTGAGGTGTGACGGGCTCCGTGCCAGCTAAGCAATTTGGAGCCACCTTGGTTGGCAGGTAGAGGCCTCTGATGAGAAGCACCGCCATCCTCGGTCACCTGACCTGATCCTGCAGCTGAGACACTCAGAGGCTGCCAGGAAGAGGCGGGGGGGGGGCGCTGATTGAAAGCGGCTCCCCCACCCACCCAAAGGGAGTGGGGGAGGCTGGCCTGCCTGGCGTAGCAACCTTACCCCAGAGCCACTGGCCAAATAACTGGGCTCTCAGGTACGGCCATTGGGGGCTCCCTAACTGTCGGTTTGGGGCTTTGCATGGGGCGAAGCCAAGCCCCCCCCCCGTCCCTCCTCCTCTTGGCAGCCCCCTGGTGGCTTCCTCGTTTTGTATAACTGGCAGCCGTTCACGTAATGTGGAGCTATGGTTCCATTTTCCTTCCTTCGGGCGATGCGTCATTTCCTTTCTATGTGCAGATAAATAAGACGGGGAGGGTTGAAGAGGAGGAGCAAACCTTTGGGTCCCACCTGGGCCGGGCCGGGCGTCCCCACAGAGACGGGGCTGGGGAGGGAGGGAGGGAGGGAGGGAAGGGCTGCTCCTGACCCCGCAGTCAGAGAACCAGCTGCCAAAGGAGGCCCTGTGCTCTGCCACTCACCCCCAAGGCTGCCCGAGAGCCCCTCGGCTTCAGCTGCCCGGCTCCGCCCGCCACCCAAGATGCTTGTCTGTGGGAAGATGGCCTTGGGAGACCCTCAGGGTCCAGGACCCAAACGGGCCCCCAGGCAGGGCCCGGCTGGCCTCTCCTCCGGAGAGGAATGGCTGCTGAGCAGTCAGTCAGGTTGTGCCAGCGAGGGGCCTTGGGTCGGGGCGGCCCTGGCCAGGAGCTGTGGCCCCTCTGCTCGCCCTGAGGGGCCAGAGGGCCAGGCCAGGACTGCCCCGCAAAGCTCCCTGCTGCCCCCAGGGCAGGCAGCCATGGCAGGGGAACTCCCTTCGGCTCCTTCTGGGCCGCTAAGTCCCCGGATGCTCCCCTGGAGTTTGCGCCCAGAGGTCCCCAAGACAGCCTGGTTCCTAGCCCTTGCCAGAAGGGGGCCCGGGCTCCTCCAGCGGCACCCAAAGAGGCCAGGCCAGGCCGGAGTAAAGGAGGGGGCAGCCTTGGCCCGCCCTTCCTGGCCCTGGCCAGCTTGGGTGGCACAGTGGCTGCTCTGGCCGTCCTGGTCCCCAGCCGTGAAGCCAGCAAAGAGCCCGGTTCCAGGTGGACTCAAGCCGGCCTCCTTTGCCTCCCTGCGGGTAGAGGGAGCCGGCTGGTGGGCTTTGCTCCCTCGGGCTAAGCGGGCAGCAGAGCTGCTTCCCACCAGGGCAGCCGTGCCAGGGAGCGTCCTCAGGCTGGGGCCTCTCCCGGGGCAGCTAACGGGTGGGGAGAAGGGGGCACAGCAGCCACCCCCCCTTGCTCTAGGGGGAGGGTGGTCCCCAGCCCTCCTTCACCGGCCTCTCCACCCCCCCAGGACACCCAGAAGGCCAAGCAGTTCCTGCCTTTCCTGCAGCGGGCCGGCCGCTCGGAAGCGGTGGTGGAATATGTCTTCAGTGGCTCCCGCCTGAAGCTCTACCTGCCCAAGGAGACCTGCCTGATCACCTTCTTGCTGGCAGGTGAGCGAGGGAGGGGGGAAGGGGGGAGGGAGGGGGGGCTCAGTCCAGCTGGGGAAGCTCCCGAGAGGAGCCGGGCGGGGCAGCTGGGAGGCTCCCTCCGGCAGGGCTGAATTCCGCTTCAGGGCTCCGGATGAGGCTGGGAGGCCAAGGGGGGCCCTCCGTGGGCTTGGGGCACACGCTTGCTTCCCCCGGGAGGGCTGCCTGAAGGGGCTGCTAGGGGCGGCCATTTGGAAGAGCCTCCTTGGCAGGGAGGGAACCGGTCCTGGTGCCTCCTCTGGGGCCCAGCCTGAGCCGACAGGGGACCTTCCCCGGGATCTGGCATTGAAGCCCTGGGGGCAGCTGCCCCGGGAGCCTCCCCACGCCCAGGCCCCGTGGGCCCCCTCGGTTCCTGGGCTGCGGAGTCCAGGGGTTGAGTCCTTCCAGGCGGGATGGAAGAGGAACAATGCAGCAGCCTTAAGGCAGCGTGGTAGCCCGGCCTCCTCCTCCTCCTCCTCCTCCGGGGCTCTCCAGGTGGCTGGCCGCTGCTCTCCTCCCAGGAATGACTGGGGGAGCGGGGTATAAAATGAGGGGAGGCCGGCAGGGCAGACCCCAAGACAAAAGCCTTCTGTGCATGCTCTGGGGCCTAATCTCCTTCGAAGCCCCTTGGTCCTGCAGCCCCGCTGGGACTCTGCCAAGGAGAAGCTGCGGCCCTTGGCTCTTCCTTCCTCGATGCGCTGGGCTACTCCAAGGTGGCACATGAAAGGAAAACGCCATCGGTCAGCGGAGCACCTTTGCGAGCTGTCCAGCCGCCACAAAAAGCAGCTCTCGGCCACCCTAACCCATGAGAGCCCCGTCCTGGGTCCTAAGCAGAGCCATCCAAGTGGTCCCGGTGCCCAGCCTCTTCCGGAGCCCCCCCTCGGCCTCTTTGGCCTCAGCCCCCTTCCCCCACAGGGGTGGCTGGACGCTGGGCAGCAGCTGGGCCCAAGGCCAGCCCTCAGAAGAGGGGCCCTGGCAGCTCCCCCTCCCCCCACCCCTCCCTGAAAAAGGCTCCCCCCAGATAGGGTGGGGCCATGCCCCCAGGAGGGGGAGCTGACCTCATCACGGGTTGCCCCCCCCCATTCCTGGGGAGCAAAAGGCTTCACCTCTTCCCAGATATCTCCCCCCTGCTCCTCTTTTGGGGGTCTTCCCTGCTCCAGGCCTGGTGGGGGTGGGGTCTCTGCAGTCATTTGCAGCTAGTGGCCTGGAAGGGAGGGAGGGAGGAGGAAAAGGAAGGAGAAGGAAGGAGAGAAAAGGAGGGAAAGAGGGAGGAAGCCTTAAGCGGGGAGATGGTCGCTCCACAGAACGCTGCCTTGACCTGGACCTGAGGGTCAGAGAGGTTGAGGGGCAGCCATTGGCAGGATCCCCCCCCCCGAGCCCCCTGGAAGCCCCCCAGGGCCTCTCTGCCCCTCTCGCCCCAGACAGAATCAGGGTGGGGGTGGGGTGAGCCTCCCCTGCAGGACTGAGCTGGCGCTTCCTTCCTTCCTTCCTTCCCTGGGCAGGGTGGCCTCTCAGCTCTGTGCCCTTGAATGCCCCCCACACACACACCCCAGGCACAGCTGGCTTCGTGAGGCCCTCGGAGTGGGAACCAGATAGGGAGGGGCTCCCTCTCCTGCAGGCCCCACAGGTGAGGAGGGGCAGGGAGGCCATGTGGCTCTAAGCAGGTGGCCCCAGGGGGGGATTCTGGGCAAAGTGCCGACATGGCGCCTGCGGGCCTTGCCCGGGGGGGGGGGGGGGGGCTCTTCCGAAGCGAGGAGTTGCCCGGCCCACGGGGCCCCTCCACCAGCTGCCATGTTATGCTGTGGCTGCTTTCCAGAACCCCCCCTCCCAGATTTTGGGGCTCCCTGCCTGGACCGGCCTTGGCCGCCCCCCTCCCCCCCGTGCCGGCCTGACTGGGGCTGATGCCTGGGCAAGCCCTGATCACAGGCCCCCTTCTGCCTGATTGGTGGGGTGGTGGGAAGGGGCGTGGGCTGCGTGCCAGCCATCCAATCGTTTGGGGGCGTGCCCATGCCAGCCCCCCCACTGGCACAGGGGTGGGGAGCAGGCTCTCTGAGGAGGCCTCTTGGCTGTGGTGGGGGGGCTGCTCCTGGCCTTGGCCTCCTCCCACACAGCCCCCTCCCCAGGCAGGGCCTCCCTCCCTTGGGCTTCGTTGTCTCCTTCCTGCCCGCCCCTCCCCGGCATTGGGGTGATACCACCCCCTCCCTCCTGGTGCCCTCCCCTTCCTCTTGGCAAAGGCCGGCGCAGAGGCCAGGAGGAGGCAACAGGGGGGGGGGGGGCGCCTGGGCTCCTTCGTGGCCGCCTGGGCCTGATGCGGAGATACCTCGACTTGCCATCTTATTTATAATTAACTAATCCTAAAGTCAGTTGTACAAGACAAGAAAATGAGGCTCCTCGTTGCAGAGACGCTGGTATTTAAAGATGTTAATGTGCTAAAACTCCCACTCCTCTTGGAGGGAGGGGGGGAGGGAGGGAGGGGAGATGCCTCACGCGGAGAAAAGGCTGGCTGGTGGGGCCGGGCTGAGCGGAGGAGCCCCGGGGGCCCTGCAGGAGGCTCCGTAATGGGGCTCCTGGCCTGCCCGGCCCTTCATTGGGTGATACCACGAGTGGGGACGGGGAGCCGTAAGAATTGGCTTTACCTTCCTGATTGAATTCTAGTCTTATGGGATCCTGGGAAGGACTCCCCCCGTCCCCTCCCCTCCCCCCCCAGGGTCCCGCAGCCGGCGCCCTGGCTCTGCCCCCAGAGGGACCAACTCGGCTCCTTGGGGCCAAACCTCGCCTGTCTTTCGGGCACCTGGCTTGGCAGGAGAGGGCAGAGCAGGCTGGGCTGCTGGGCTTTGGCCAACGACCCTCCGTCCCAGGGTGTTAAGCAGTGCAGGCATCTCACACACACACACACACACACACACACACACACACACACACACACCCCACTGGAAGTTTGAAGGTTTGTTAGCTATCGGTAGTGAGCAGGGGGTTGGACTAGATGCCCTCTAAGATCCCAGCCAAGCCATAGGTGAAGGGAGGAAGAGAAGATGAACCAGCTGACTTGTCCCTCCCACCTCTGAGGCTGCTGGGGGGGGGGGGCTTCCATGCCCCCATTTCTCAGCTGGGGCTCTTGTTTCCTGCCCCAGCTGTACCCAGAGAGAGCAGGCCCTGGACTGAATGCCACCCTGTCCTCCCGTCCGTCCCCCCCCCCCCCCCCCCCGGGGGGGGGGGCCCCGGGGCAGGCGCCCCCCCCCCCCCCCCCCCCCCCCCCCCCCCCCCGCATTGGGGTGGGGGCATGACATTTGCAGGCAGCACCCCCTGGCCCTTGTGCTGCAGAGGGGCCTCTGGAGGAGATCCCCACCCACCCCCGGTGGCCTTGCCCAGAAGGAAACCCGGCCCCAGGCCTTGGGGGGCACCCTGCTGCTGGGTCTAACCCAGGGCTGGGCCTTGTAGGGGCCTGGGAGCTGGTGGGTTGTCGGTCGTGCCCTGAATTCAGCCCCTCACCCAGCCGGGCAGCCTGAGAGAAGCAGGCGGGGCGCAGGCGACCCGTGCCCTGTGACCACGGAGAAGGGCCACCGTTGCTGGGCTGGGCTGGGCCCCTCGCACGTGGGAACGCCTGGCCCTGCTTTTGGGGCGCTGGGGCCCTCCCCCCGTCCTGGAGAGAAGGGGGGAAGGAGGGTTTTGCCTGGCGAGGGCAGAGCCAGGAAGGGCCCCAAGGGACAGCTGAGCCCTGCCTGTCCCTCCCATGGCCTTTGCACGGCCCTCCTGGGGTCTCTGGGGCAGCTCCCCAACAGAGGAGGGCTGGGGGGGAGCTCCTGGCTGCTGCTGCTGCTGCCGCCGCCGCCCCCCCCTTTTTGGGGCCCCCCCCCCCCCGAGTCTGCCTGCCCTCCCCCAGGCCTTCAGGGCGGCCGCCTGTTCCCCTGGGAAGGAAGGGGGAGGGGGGGAAGGGCTTGTAGGGGGGGGGTCTTCCCCTCGTTCTTCGGGTTGATGGGACGAAGGGCTGGAGGGGAGGCCCAGCATGGAATCGAACATCTGGCTTCTTCTCTGGGAAGCTCCGCCCATCGCCCGGGGAGAGGCTGGTGGGGGGAGGGCTGGCTTGGGGCGATGTGGGGGAGTCAGCGCTGTGACGCAACTGCCCCAAAGGCCAATGCAGTGAGGAGCTCTGGGGCTCCCTCGTTGGGGGCCTGCAACTCGGACCAGGCCGCCTTTGGAGCACCGTCTCCGGTTCTGGGCCTCGCACGGAATTAGGAATTTGGAGAAAGGCAGAAAGTTCAGAGGAGGGCACCGCTAGTCCTCGAATTGCGACCGGTCCTTTCCTGACCACAGGCCAGGAGGGGGCGCTCTATGGCCTGGGAAGCGCTTTCGGCTGCTAGGAAATGCTCTCCCCCCCCCCCCCAGCTACCTGGCAAGCGGAGTGCACCATGGGTTGTGGTCTCTTGTAACTGGGGTTCCCCACTGCTTTGCTGGAATCGCTTAACGACTGCCATAAAGAGGGTCAAAGAGTCAGGCCCAGTCAGGCGGGGGTCTCCCCCTGGGACAACCACAAAACCCCGGTACCAACTGTGCCTGGGTGCGCTCCAGCTGACCGTGCCCTTTGGGGGAGCTGCAGTGCTGCCCGCCTGCCCTGGCCTGACCCGCCTGGGCTGATGCCACGCTCGGCCTCCTGTCCTTGCGCTCCTGGCTGCCTCCTGGACTAGGAGTGCCCGTGCTGCCCCTGGCGGGCGGTCCCCTCCCTTCCCCTGGCACAAACCCCAGGAAGGGCCGCGGGTGTCCTCTGGACCCCTTGGCCGTGGGGCAGCCCCCTCCCTCCCTCCCTCCGGGAAGGCGGTCTAAGCTCGTCTTTTGCTCCTCTCTGCGCCCCAAAGGTGGTCTGTTTTCAGACTTTGATTCTGGCACAAAGGGCTTCCGGTGGCTGGTGCTGCTGCTGCTGCTGCTGCTGCTGCTGCTGCAGCGGCCCTCTGAGGGCAAGGGAGCCTCCCCTTGCCCCACATGCCCCTCCCCCCACCGCCTTCCCCGGGCAAACCGGCCCCCAGCCCGAGGAGGAGGAGGAGGAGGGGGCTGCCTGGAGGGGATGGGCATCCAGCAGGCAAAGGTGACCCTGCGGATGCAGCCCGGGTTGCGGTGCAGGTGCACGCTGCGGCTCTCCCTCCTGGCGCCTCCATTGCTGGGATGGCAGCCTTGCGCCCCACCGCATCGCCCCTTGCGGGCTGCCATCTGCTCGGGATGCGGCTGCCTGCAGTTTCCCCCGAATCTCCTTCCTTCGGTTCGGTTCCTCTCCAGTGCTCTGCTGCAGGGCTGGGATTTCTCACGCTCTCCTTCCTTCCTTCCTTCCTTCCTTCCTTCCTTCCTTCCTTCCTTCC